AGGAGAGGGAAAAGGGAAAGGGAAAGGAGAGGGGAAAGGGAAAGGAGAGGGAAAAGGGAAAGGAAGTGGAAAAGGAAAAGAGAAAGGAGGTGGGAAAATGGAAAGGGAAGGGAGATGGAAAAGGGAAAGGAAGTGGGAAAAGGGAAAAGAGGAGGGGAAGGGAAAGGAGAGGGAAAAGGGAAAGGGAAAGGAGGGGGAAAAAGGGAAAGGGAAAGGAGGGGGAAAGGGAAAGGAAGTGGAAAAGGAAAAGGGAAAGGAGGTGGGAGAAGAGAAGGGTGGGGGGAAAAGGGAAAGGGGGGGAAAAGGGAAAGGAGTTGGGAAAAGGAGGTGGAAAAGGGAAAGGAAAAGGACGTGGGAAAGGAAAAGAGAAGGGAGGTGGGAAAACGAGGGGAAAAAGGGAAAGGAGGTGGGAAAAGGGAAAGGGAAAGGAAGTGGGAAAAGGGAAAGGAGCAGGAAAAGGAAAAGGGAGAAGGAAAAAGGGAAAGGGGGGGAAGGGAAAGGAAAAGGAGGTGGAAAAGGACAAGGGAAGAGAGAGGGGAAAAGGAAAAGGAGAGGGGAAAAAGGAAAGGAGGTGGGAAAAAGGTGGGAAAAGGGAAAGGAGGTGGAAAAAGGGAAAGGAAAAGGAGGTGGAAAAGGACAAGGGAAGAGAGAGGGGAAAAGGAAAAGGAGAGGGGAAAAAGGAAAGGAGGTGGGAAAAAGGTGGGAAAAGGGAAAGGAGGTGGGAAAGGGAAGGGAGGGGAAAAAAGGGAAAGGGAAAGGAGGGGGGGAAGGGAAAGGAGCTGAAAGGGAAGGGAGGGGAAAAAAGGGAAAGGGAAAGGAGGGGGGGAAGGGAAAGGAGCTGGAAAAGGGAAAGGAAGCGGAAAGAGGAAAACGCGAAGGAGTTTTCCTCCCCCCCCGCGGGGTCTGTTTCCTCTTTTCTTTCCCGCCGGGCAGAACTTCGAGGGCGAGGAGCTGGTGGAACTTTCCTTTTCCAAGAACGGAGAGGATTTGGGAGCGGCTTTTCGGATCGGGAAGGAATCCCTGGCCTCCAGAGCCCTCCTGCCCCACGTCCTCTGCAAAAACTGCGCCGTGGAGCTCAACTTCGGCCAGAAGGAAGAGCCCTTCTTCCCCCCGCCCCGCGACTACGTCTTCATCCACGCCGTCCCCGCGGAGGACCGCGTCCGCACCCCGCTCCCCCCCCCCAAAAGAGGAGTGCGAGGTGAGATTCCCCGCGTTCCTACTTATCCATCCCGTAGGAATTCCGGAGCGGTTCCGTCATATTTGGGTTGGGTTGGGTTTTTTTTTCCCCTCCCGCCCCCCTGCAGGTGCTGCTGATGGTGGGATTGCCGGGCTCGGGGAAAACCCAGTGGGCACAAAACCACACCCAGGAAAACCGGGAGAAGCGATACAATATTTTGGGAACAGAAAGCGTCCTGCATCAGATGAGGGTGAGGGTTGGAACGGGAACGCCGGGATGGATGCGGGAGGAGGGGGGCTCCGGGGTGGGATTTTTCCCCCTCTCCAGGGTGGGATTTTTCCCTTTTTCCGGGGTTTCCCCCTCTCCAGGGTGGGATTTTTCCCTTTTTCCGGGGTGGGATTTTTCCCTTTTTCCGGGGTGGGATTTTTCCCCCTCCCCTGGGTGGGATTTTTC